TTTAGACAATCATAATATGAAGCATGAAGAAATAAATGTAACCGCTAAACTATTATCGGATTCCTTAGCAGTGCATACCCATGATACCGATAGCAGAACTCGAACCCAGAACCGGTCTCGTGTACGAACACTAAACATATAGACTACTGAGCCGGTGTTCAATGGTGTTAATGTCTAGTTTCAACCAAATAGTAGTCAGTGATATATAGAAGTATAACTTTTAAAATTGTCTTAGAAGGGGTTATTCGTCCCACAATAGGACCAAACGGCTGTCCAGTACTTCCACATTTTCAATAGTGGTCTAACATCAATCAGTTCATGATCTCAATCAAAGACCATTTATTTCTTCTTTATATAGATAAATGTTCTTAACAAGTATATTAAGTGTGATTAGATTGTTCGAAATGTATTGCGCTAATATACATCATCACATAGTTCTGATAGTCTCCATCTTTTTATTACATTATCATAGAGACTAATTGCTTTAAATTGAAAACCCCTATAAACTAATAATATTTAGTTGTCATGACTCAAAGTATTGACTATTAATTTTTTTTCAAAAAAAAAGAATCATAAAGAGAAAAATTGTTAAAATCCATTCACACAAATCAATGTTGTCTAGGCAACTAATTCATTTATTTCATATATACATAGAATTCCCTTTTATTATTTTGTAAAGAGTAAGAATAAAGATTCTAGTAGATTAGCATAAATTCATTTTTATTTCATCTGAGTCTCATCAACTACTTACAATCTGTGATATTTTGATAATCATAATTATCGTTTAAAGATCTCCATTATATTCAGTGACTAATATTTGAATGAAGAATATTCTTTTCGATAAATTCTCTTCAGGTTCTACAATTACCACATATCCAAATTGTTAATCCAAATATTACACCGTTGGGTGCCGGCTCAGTGGTCTAATGGTCAAGTGCTCGCGCGCGAAGCCAATAGGTCCTGAGTTCGAATCCCGCGGGGGGCGAGTTCGTGGATGCGCACTGCTGAGGAGTCCCATACTAGGACGAAACGGCCGTCCAGTGTTTTCAGATTTTCAATGGTGGTCTAGCTTTAATTGACTCATGATTTCAACTTGTGAAATTTCCTAAAAATCTCCACAAAACTCATTCTGATAATCCAAATATTAGCCAGGTTAAAAGCAAAGCTTATTGTTTAAACATCATCATTATTCTCCCTTATAGATAATTCATTCACTTCACATTCATCCCTCCGTATTACTTCTTACTTATTTGATCGAATTGTAATTGTACTATTATTTCTCTCTCTCTCTCACCCTATTTGACCCATATTTATTCGGATCTTACTTAATTACTTACTTACGCCTGTTACTCCCAATGGAGCATAGGCCACCGATCAGCATTCTACAACCCACTCTGTCCTGAGACTTCTTTTATAGTTCCATCCAATTCTTGTACATTTTTCTCATGTCTGTCTCCATTTCTCGGCGTAATGTGTTCTTTGGTCTTCCTCTCCTCATTTGGCCTTAAGGATTCCATGTGAGGGCTTGTCTTGTGATGCAGTTGGGTGCTTTCCTCAATGTGTGTCCTATCCACTTCCAGCGCTTCTTCCTGATTTCTTCCTCCGTTGAGATCTGGTTTGTTCTCTCCCACAGTACGTTGTTGGTAATAGTGTTTGGCCAACGGATCTGAAGTATTTTGTGTAGACAACTGTTAATAAACACCTGTATTTTCTGGATGATTGCTTTCGTTGTTCTCCAGGTTTCTGCACCATACAGTAGAACTGTGTTGAAATTTGTATTGAAAATCCTGACCTTGGTGTTGGTTGACAGTTGCTTTGAGTTCCAGATGTTCCTCAGTTGTAAATATGCTGCTCTTGCTTTTCCGATCCGCGCCTTGACATCTGCATCAGATCGGATGATGGATCTTGAAAAAAATTTCACTTAACATACACGCAAATTTAAGTTAACATTAACATTAACAATTTTATTGTAGTTTGTTTATCACAATCCTAAATTCACATGCTTTAAACGATATACTTTGCCCTTAACCTGGCCATTTTTTCGGATTATTAATTTGGATATGGGATAATTATAGAACGCGGCGGCCTGCTTGAATATCTGGGCTACCTGTTCCTCCGATCTAGACATTTCATCAAGTTATCTGCTTTGTTGTTCGTTTTAGCACATCAATATGTCTATTGTGCACACAATCTATTCAGGCGCGTTTATGAAAAGTTTACAAACTTTCGCTATACAGGATACAAAAAGGTACAATCAGCGACATCATGGTGGCTGGCAAAATGCATTGAAACGAATGAACATTAATCAAATGTGGATTACCGAACTCCTAACATCTAACTGGTCATAATTCAAAATTTATCGTCACAATCGATCAAGATATAAGAAAAGGAAACTTGTTGAAATACTTTATGCTGAGAATTCTATGTTGTATCAAAAATATAATGTTGAATAAAGCTTTTAATAATAATAATAATAATAATAATAATACTCATTATGTAATCACTTGTTTCTAACCGTTTGAATTGTTGTCACAATCAATGTTGTGGGAAAGTCTTTCAATTAAGATACACTATTCAGTCTATTCCATTTATTTACACCCTTACTATACTATACTAATGTGTCTTCAATATCACTTCCAACCAAACACTTTCATGTAAGTAATTTAAACCCATTATGTAATTATGATGTTTAAATATCCCAAGTTGTAAGCAGCTGACGAGAACCAAACAAAATAGAATGAATTCATACTATTCAGCTAGAATCTTTCTTCTTTTATAGTTACGTAATCATCATCAAACGGTGTTGATATTTTTAAAAATATTTCAGATCTATAATATTGTGAATCGTAATTGATTAAATAGAAATTTTTAGCTAAATGAATGTTTAATTGAAGATACTTTTCGGTTTGAGAACAAACCAGATCCCAGCGGTGGAATAGATCAGAAAGAAACGATGGAAGTGGATAGGACACATATTGAGGAAAGCGCCGAACTGTGTCACAAGACAATCCTTCACTTGGAATCCATAAGGCTAAAGGAAATGAGGAAAACCAATGAACATATTATTCTGAGCAATGAAGACAGACATGAGGAGAATGAACAACAATTGGATAGAACTGGAAAGGTTTGCCAACGATAGGGTTGAATGGAGAGTGCTGGTCGTCGGCCTATGATCCATTGGGTGTAACAGGCGAAAGTAAGTAAGTACTCTTCGGTTTGGTGGAACAAGACAGTTAGCGTTTTAAGAAAAAAAATGATAAAGATTGGAAAAACTACTGGATACTAAAAAACAGTAGAGACTTCAGTACTTCATATCTCTAGTTGAATTTGTTATGAATCAATGAGTGAATAAAAATTTGATACAGAATGTTTTTAACTGATATTTGTTGTCATCTTTGATAATTAAGTTTTGGTTAACATAACTGAACTCAACTGATAATGGCTTCTAACTAAAATTCATCAACAAATATTTCTAGTAATTTCAATAGTTGAGATCATGAGTCAGTTAGAGAAAACGTGGAAGCACTGGAAGGCCGTTTTGTCCTATTGTAAAGCTCCTCAGCAGTGCGCATCCACGACACCGCCTCGAGGGATTCGAACTCAGGACCTATCAGTCTCGCGCGCGAGCACTTAGCCACTAGACCACTGAGTTGGCATCCAACGGTGTTGATGTCTAACCTCAACTAATTAAGCAACACATCCACCATTGTCATCAGTGAATTACTATCTCACAAATCAACACAAAGAAATCCGTTCATGAATAATATAATGATGATCAATAATAAATTGTTTTGAGAAGAGTCCTTAAATTTCCAATGAGTTGCCATGGATCGTTTAGAAATGTCAAGAGAAGAATAGTTGTCATCAGTTATTTTGAATAACATTCATGCTACTGTATGAATTAATCTAAACTATAATTATTTGCTATTGTATTACATCCTAGTGATCTAACATTTAGGCGCTTACTGTAAGATTTGAATGTTTCAGTATTACATTGAAGTGTGTTTATGGATGAATGTTAATGAGTTACTCCATTACCAAGATGAAAGAGTTATGTAGTACTTTGTGGTTTACAATGATACTTTAGTGAAAGTCAACCTGTTGAAAATATCACCTATAAAGAGACATCTATTGATTACTATATTGATTATCGTCGAATCACTTACAATGATCTCACTAATAATTTGACAAGCCATGAACTTCTTAATTAACATGTACATTTTGACCAGGTAAAATGTTTATTTGTATTTAATATTTTACTAAAAATGATAAGAAATCCAAATGATCACAACTAAAAATTACATATCAAGCATTAATTATCGAAAAAAATTGATCCCCGATCATTAGTCTAGTTTGATATCAGTCAAAATCTCACTATTCATTCATTCACTTCTATATGCCTGTTACTCCTAATAGAGTATAAGCAATCAATCAATATTGTTCAATCCATTCTATCCTATACCTTCCTTCATAATTCTATTCAATTGTTGCATCAATTCTTCTGCACTGGAAGTTCTTTTTAAGCTACTGCCGATTTCAAATCTGAAAAATTGAACATTAGGTGAATGACTTCATCTCATAGAAAACTAAATCTCTATTAAAATTAAAAAGAAAACGTTAATCAGACAAACATCTCAGTATATTATTCATCCAATATCAATCAATCATTTTTTTTTCTTCAATCTAAATTAACTACTTATATAATCATATTTATGAGTAGTTATGTTAGAGAAAAAGAAGAAGAAAAATGAACTAACCAAAAATGATTAAATGATTTGTTTGTTCGTTTGTTTACTTCTTTTCAATGTATCAATACATAAAACATAATAATAATAATAAGAAGAAGAATAATCCTTCATTAATTTTGTTTTAATGCTTATTCAATATTCAATATTTGGCAAGTAAACGTTTTAATCTTTCACGAAAACTTTGATTAAATAATGAATAAATAAAAAAATTCACAGCATTATTAACATAATAAAATTCATGATGTACAGTTGTCATAAAACTTCCATCATTCTCTTGATTATTGAAAATAAATTTTGTTCTATTATGTAATTGATTCGTAGAGTAATTCGTGATGGTGGTGATGTTGGTGTTGGCGGTGGTGGTAGGGATGGCGGTGATGTATATTTCCACCAAAATTTAAAATGTACCCATAAAACAGGAAATAATGTAGCATAAAATATTACAGTAGAAATAAATATCATTAAACCTGTACGATGACTACGTGTTACACGTTTAGATAATAAACGATTTACAGATAATGGAGATATTGGAGACGGTATTGTTGTTGTTGTTGTTCCAGTAGATTGATTATTATGTTTTGATATCATAGATTTATTAGATTTTTGTTCAAATAATCTTGATATAGATGGTGTTTTTAATAAAATACGTCTTTTTAATATATTCCATTGTATAGTTGTCTGTAATTGATGTTGATGATTACATTGTTCTACTTGTTGTTGTGGTGGTGTTGGTGGTGGTTCTTGTTGTTGTTGTTGTGGTGGTGGTGGTGGTTCTCGTTGTTGTTGTTGTTGTTGTGATTGTTTTGTAATCACTTGATCACAACTTAATTGTTTCATTAATCTAAATGGTAATCCATATCTTCTAGATTGTGTTGTATCACAATAATGTATTTTTGGATCTTTAAACATAACTATTGAATTGGTGTCATGTTCATTTGTTAATTTTAATACTGGTTCTATTTCATTATTATAAATGGATGATTGTAATAATGAATTTGATTTATTCATTAATTTCATTGATGTATAATTTGTATTATGATGATGATCAATAGTAGTTAACCATTGTTGTTTTCGTAAATCATTCTCTCTAACTGTTCTAAATATTCTTACATATAAATATGTTATAATAATAAATGAGATAAATGTTAATAGAATATAAATTTGATTAATTAATTCACGTAATTGTTCAGTTAATTGACAATTCCATTTCATTAATTCCAATATAATCAATATACATTCAAATAAACATGTTCCAATAATCACTATAATCAATATTAATGTAATACATTTATTTGATGAACATAATTGATGATTCTTATCTTTCTGATTAGTGACATTCATTAATATTGATGATGGTGTTAATTTATTCGAATGATTAAGATTATGATTTGTATGATTAATCGATGGAACCTTATGAATTAATGAAGTGATATTATTATTATTATTATTCAATAAATGATGACAACATATAGATGATTTACATAGATCTTGTTTAACAAGTATCATATAACGTTCAAATGCAATCGCTGTTAATACACTACCTTCACATGCAATATAATATTACGTAATAATGTTAATATCATATTTAATTGATAATTTATATAGATTCCTTTATTAGAATTTATATCAATATGGTATCCAGAAGAATTATTCTCATTCAGATTATTATTATTATTATTATTATTATCATTATTTATAGATAAGTTAGGAATAGTTTCATCATAGGCATAATTAGCAACACGATATATATCCCATGGTAATATGAAAACACATGTGAATAAATCAATAAATGCCAATAATAATATTAAATTATGCTGATTTAATTTATTTTTATATAATGGTAATTTATATGATTTCAATGAAATTGAATGAGTGCCAAATTTTTTTGTCATTTTAGTATCCAAGGGATTATTATTATTATTAGTAGTAGTAGTATGGTTACTATTTATGATTGTATGATGATTCATCATATAACGATTAGTATAATGTTTAGGTTTGATACAATAAACAATAATCACTAAACTATTTCCAATAATACCTAATAAACATATGAGACTTAATAGTATCACTGATATAATCGATTGTATAAATGAGACATGATCTCTTTCATGTAAATTATTACATAATTGTAATTGATTATTATTTATGATCAGATCAATAGACATAATCAATTTTTTTTTCAAAAAAATATAATAAATTGAATTCAATAATAAATGAAATGATTGATAAATTTATTCAAGAATTATTAATCATTTAATGATTTCTTCAATTGATCATTTCGAATGCCATTGGTGAGTGTGTATGTGTGTGTGTGTGTCTATGAGAGAAGGGGGGGGTATTGTTGTTGTTTTCATGAAATGTGTTTGGTTTGCCTAACTACTACCATTGCTATTATTATTATTATTACTATTATTATTATTATTATGCAATGCCCATTGTACAAATAGATTTGATTGGTTATTGAATAGTAACTAATCATTGGTTTATTTTTGTAATTTTTTACATGAAATGGAAACAGTGCTTAAAAATTATTATTAAATTAAAGGAGTTCATTGATTGGTTATAACTATATCCAACGTTGTTGTCATGTCAACTTGCTTCATTTTGTTTGGTTACTAAGTAGACTGTTAAAATGACCAATTGGAATTAGATTTACTTTCAGTTTATTTATTTGATGTAAATAGTGGTAAATGATAGTTTATTTATTTTATAATGAAAATTCCCAATTAAACATTTAGTAAATAAAAAAGAAAAGAATCGAGTGAAGAAGTTACCGTGACACTATAATGTATGGACAACCACCTTTGAGCGACGCTAGACTGACCTTCACAGTATTCACCTAATAAGTAACACCAAACCTGTGTGAAGACCTCGAATTGTGATTTACAGTTGACGGTTAAGGTCAGGAATAAGATTTAGGGTTTTCACTACGAATTGACATCATCTATAATGCCAAAATTCTATTTATCCAAATGTGAACTTCGCACCAAAATCCGAGACCCGTTATCTTATACGTGATTGGTTCGTCAATAAATTATAGTCTAACCGAAACTTCTTTTCAATTAGTTTTTCACCATGGCTTTACACTATATATATATATATATATGGGGCGTACAACTCAGCAAGTTCGTCATCGTATAACAGGACACCATCCGTTGTATTTGAGTAAAAGATAGGTAAGAGTGATTAACAGTTCTATTCTCGCTCACTTAATGAACACAAGTCATCAAGTTGAATTTCAATAAAACTTTTAAGGTTATCCACTGTATTCCATCAAATTTGCCACATAGTTTACGTGTACATCTTGTGCACACAGCTGAAGTCATTTCATTCCATCTTCACAAACAGAACCTTTGCATCCAAAATAACTTTCTACAACCACTCTCGCTACTTTGACTATCGATATAGGAGAGTTTAAAGGAGAACTATGATATACTATTTTCGTATTTCTTCAACTTTTTGTATTTTATTTATTCTCAACATTCATCTCTTGATTCTTACATAACTACTATACTACTGATTATTCAACAAAATATTCTATTAGTTCCTTCTTCTCTTTTTTATATTATGCAACGTAGCAACTGTTTGATCTTCGAATAATTACTTTGATCAGTTAATAGTTGAATTCATGAGTGGATTAAAGCTACACCACCATGGAAAACCTAAGAGTGCTGAACAGCCATTTCGTCTTAGTATGGGACTTCTCATTGCTGAGCATTTACGATCCAACCTTGCGGGATTCGAACCAAGGACTTATCGGTCTAGCGTCATTATTGATTATTATGGTCTTCTTTCTTCCAATTACTCAATGTTAGTTTATAATTGATATGTCATTATATAATTATTGAGTTACGTATCTACTCGATGAGTATTATTTCATTAATGTAAATCATATAGATATAGATATGCATTAGTGTAGAGCTATGATGAAGAACTAATTGAAAAGAAATTTGTTCACTCGATTCGTTCCTTCTTTAATTTTTTTAAAATGCCTGTTAAAAGATTATACAGTTTGAGGTGAAATGATCTATAATGCTGTTAAAGTTCTGGTTATCGTTTTTTTCTATGTGTTGGGGTCGCTAACCCGATGCCTAACTCTCCTTCTTTATCCGGGCTTGCGACCGACAGTAACCAAAGGAGGGCTCCAGGTGGAGTAAGAGGCCTAAATAAGTAAGTAAGTAAGCTGGTGAAGCTCGATCTTAACAGAAAATTAAGCAAGTCATGAATTGAATATCAGAATAGTTAACTTGACCCATTCATCAATTTCAAAGATGAAATGGACAAAGTACAAGGGGTTTTTTAACACTCTTATTAATTTTATTTATTTGATATCGTCCTTTTCTATGAATATTAGAAGACATATACTTCTCTCAATAAACTACATTGAAAGAATCGTATTCCTTCATCAGACACCATTGCTAAAAGCTTTACAACAGATCTCTAAAAGATTTATTATCCTTAAGTAACTCTTTGGCTGTGAGATTACAGATTCATGTATCGAAATTTATCGTGAAACTTTTACATGGTTTAGGAACTTGGGTAGATTAAAGATTTGGGTAGAATAGTATGAATTCATTCTATTTCGTTTGGTTCTCGTCAGCTGCTTACAACCTGTGATATTTAAACATCGTAATTACATAATGGGTTTAAATTACTTACATGAAGTAGTTTAAGCAAAGATGGATAGTAGCTAGCAACGGAATCCAAGACGTACGTTTCGTCTTATTTGAGACTCACCAGCCGGATTTACCTGAATCCCACAGTTGATGTTCACTCTGGGACTCGAACCCAATGCCGTCCGCTTCAGACGCTATCACGTTATCCACTTAACTACTGAGTCCTGGTAGCCACCTGCTTGTGCACTGGGGTGAAGTTTAAATTCATTTGACAACATGAGACTGATTAATTGTAGTCCTAAATAACAATGGGAAGATACAAGTAAAATAACACCAAGTGAATGAAGTAGTTTAGTTGGAAGTTACTTTGAAGAAACATTAATATAGTATAGCAAAGGTGTTAATAAGTTGGTTAGACTGAATAAAATATCGTCAACATATAACTTATATTAAAGTATATTCTACAGTATTGATTATAAAATGATATTGCCATACAATGGAGGGAAGATAGGACAGTTCAACTTTATGTATAGTGAAATAGTACTTGGAATGTTCTTTACCTAAATTTTAATAGTTTTTAACCGATCACTAACAAGAAAGAGTTGGTCAAGATAATATTTTACGGATAGATAGGATGTTTTCTACTGACAGACTGCAAAGACAATTAATGAACTTTGAAAAATGCCTAAAAAATAACTGCTACACACAGAAATCTGTTTACAAATGTAAGAAAATCTAAAGGAAACAAGATAGGTGTGTCTACAGTTAATAAAAACTTACTTACTTACTTACGCCTGTTACTCCTCGTGAAGGAGCATAGGCCGCTCACCAACATCCTCCATCCAATCCTGTCCTGGGCGATCCTTTCGAGCTCCTTCCAGTTCCTATTCATCCTTTTCATATCTGCTTCTATTATCCGACGTAATGTGTTCTTAGGCCTTCCTCTTTTCCAGTTCCCTTCAGGATTCCAACTTACGGCTTGCCTCCTGATGTAGTTTGATGATTTCTCACATATATGTCCTATCCATTTCCATCGTATTTTCCTAATTTCTTCTTCAGCTGGAAGCTGATTTGTTTTCTCCCACAAAAGGGTGTTGCTGATGGTATCCGGCCAATGGATATTGAGTATCTTGCGAAGACAGCTATTTATAAATACTTGTACCTTTTTGATGGTGGTTGTTGTAAATCTTCAAGTTTCAGCTCCATACAGTAGAACTGCCTTGACGTTGGTATTGAAGATTCTCACTTTGATATTGGTTGAAAGTTGTTTTGAGTTCCATATGTTCTTCAATTGTCAGAATGCGACCCTTGCTTTGCCAATCCTCGCCTTTACGTCTGCATCTGAACCTCCTTGTTCATCGATGATGCTTCCCAGGTGTGTGAAGGATTCTACATCCTCCGGAGTTTCGCCATCAAGAGTGATTGCACTGCTGTTCTCCGTGTTGCAATAATAAAAAACCAATGTCTATATATCTTAACTTCAAAGGTGATGACTTGGCAACCACAATCAACAGGAGGCTTAACATGACATTAGCTAAAACTTACCCGACAGTTAAACTATTAATTCTGTATAAAACAACATATTCAGTAACCTAATCTAAGGTCGAAAATTACCCCTTTCATGTTATCGCCAAAAGTGTTTATTACTTATTATTTACGTGTACCTGCCAAAGTAGCTACATTGGCCGAACAGGAAATGGAAGAATATCTTAGATTTTTTTAATATGTCCCGAAAAGCCTTAGAACCAAGAAAAAAACAACGACTTTATACAATCCAATTACTGAATATCTCTTGGATACAAGACATCAGGTCGATACCTTCAAATCTTCCAATGAGACCAATAAACAGCCAAACTTCAGTCTTATAAAGTTTACTGAAACCGTTGCTATCAGGGGTCTAAAACTTGATTTGTGTTTAAAAAGAGCTGGTTATTAATCTATGATTGCCTTGGTGAATATATTCCTTCGTTATATCTTAGAAAACTCTTTTTTAAACACTTTCTGTCTTCTTGTTTCTAGTTCTTTATATTCTTGTAACAGTCAATATTGTAGAATCTACTTTAATATAAGTTATATATTGACAGTATTTTATTCAGTCTATTCCATTTATTTACACCCTTACTATACTATACTAATGTGTCTTCAATATCACTTCTAACCAAACTCTCTCATGTAAGTAATTTAAACCCATTATGTAATTATGATGTTTAAATATCCCAAGTTGTAAGCAGCTGACGAAAACCAAACGAAATAGAATGAATTCATACTATTCTGCTCAAATGTTGTTTCTTACTTCCTTCAAGATGACAAAAGGAATTATGTGTAATAAATGGATTATGTGTACATTCTTTCTTATCGAAACCAAATTGAACAAAATGCTGCCTAAGGTCTTTGTCTAATTCCCGATAACTATTCAATTTTTATTACATTTTTCAAAATTGTTGAATCGATATGATGATTATTACATAAGTACTACGTATGTATCCACAAATCCTTTAGTATGGCCAAGGGTGCGGAGAGTCAGCTCATACTCTCTGAATGCTCTCATATAGCCACGGTATACAGCTATTGCCAAGGAAGTCACATTCACTG